TTTCCTCCTCCTCCTCCTCCTCCGACCCCTCCTCCCACACAGCACACAGGCAGCCCATGCGGGCAAGGCCTGCTGGTTTCCACGCCTGACCGCCCCGATTCGGTTTCGCCCCCGTTCAGCGCCGCCTCGAGCTCCCCTGGAGTTTGAGAATTTCTGGTTGACGACTCGATTTGGACTCTGGCTCTTCAGCGCCCCCCCTTTCTTGGCGGCTGCCACGGATGTTCCTGGCCCAAAGTGCCCACAGCTTATTCTGACTGTTCTCGTCCCTTTCAGGGAGAGAGGATCGGAGGGCAGGAGCGAGGCAGATCTGCACAACTGCAGGAACGAACAAAATACCAATACCGCTGCTCCCCGGACACATTCCATGGTGCGATCCGACCAAGATCTCGGGGAGAATCTGGCCGTGGCGACGAAGGGCCCCTAGGACGAGCAATGGTATCGGGTAATCATCCGTACCTTCTGTTCACGACGGGGTCCCTGGACGCCCCGACCATTTAAGCCCCGTGTTGAGCAAAACTCCAGGACACCTCCCGCCGTGTTCTCTTCACGACAGGCTCGCCGTCGCTCGGACACCCACTCCCCGTGCAAATTCTCGGTGTCGTGCTTCTTGCTGGTGGTCCGATGGCCGAGGATGCTCCTCGCTGGCCCTCGCCGAGAGAAAACCACACGCCCAAACAGTGCCGAGCAGAGGATCGTGTCTGGGGCTCCCTACCTGGCGTCTGCTCCGGCACAGCCCAGAATGCCTCACTCTCTGTGGCCCTCCCAGGGCCGCCCACGGCTCCCACCCACCCTCTGCCCATGTCAGGAAGCAACTGCTGGGAGGTCTTCGTCGGAGGGATGAGGGAGGCTTGAGCCCCGTTGGAGGGCTGCTGCGGCAGATTAGGCCGCGGACTCCGCGGGACTTGGCCAGAACGTGCGGGATCGAGCCAGATCAAGCGGGATTCGGCCGGCCGGATGTCGGTCCAGGGCAAAGTCAGAATTTTACCTCCCAGGACTTGCATCCAACCTGTGCCCAATTCGCGCTTTTCGGTCGCCCTGTCAGCGCTTCACCGCAATTGGGATCCGAGACGCCGCCGATCCCAAACAAAAATCTGGGGCCACCTCCTAACAACAAAGACCAGCGACACCACCACCACCAGGGACCGCTAGCGGGAGGAGCCGGGGGGGGGGGCCCTAGTGGTGTGCCCCCTCTCGCTCGAGACACCCCCTGTCCCCAGCTCAGGGAGGTATCGTGAATCTCCTCGCTGGATGGATGTTAGAAAGATGTGGTGTTTGTTATGTCTCGTACGCCTTTAGCTTCTCTGACGACGCATGCAAACCAGAGGGTTTATTGACTTCGTTTGGCGGTGATGCGATGTGGAGAAAAATGGTGGTGGTGGTGGTGGTGGTGGTGGTGGTGGTGGTGGTGGTGGTGGTGGTGGTGGTGGTGGTGGTGGTGGTGGTGGTGGTGGTGGTGGTGGTGGGGGTGGTGGTGGTGGTGGTGGTTGTGGTGGTGGTGGTGGTGGGATTTTGGTGATGGTGGTGCTGGTGGTGCTGGTGGTGGCGGTGGTGGTGTGGTGCTGTGGTTCTGGTGGTGGTGGTTGGTGTGTGGTGGTGGTGTAATGGTGGTGGTGTAGTGGTGGTGGTGTAGTGGTGGTGGTGTGGTGGTGGTGGTGGTGCTGCTGCTGCTGCTGGTGTTCGGTCAGGAAGGGGGATGAACCCAAATCCTCCCAAAATCCATCCCCAGACCCCCTCTGGGGTCCATCTGGTGTACTTTGTTCACCGCAGATCCGTTTCCCTCGGCCCTGGGGCCCGAAGGCAGCCTGCGGAGGCCGAGAACGGCTAAAACCCTGCCACGACCCAGAGACTCGAGCATGCCCGCCCTTCCTGCTGGCTGGAAGCAGTGCCGGGCCACCCAAACGGCTGCGGCCTCTGGCGGCACCAAGACGAAGCCAGGACGAGGATAAACTCGGGTGAGGATGAATCGAGAATCTCTGCGATCCTGCGGCTCTGAAGGATGTCTCGGGCGTCGCGGCCTTCTCAGAGCGTTCCCGAACGCTCTGAGAGCATTTCGGAGCGCTGTGGCACTCGACCTTGCCCAGTCCGACGATGGGCGATCTTAACTGAAATCGGCAATCAGGGGTCGATGACCCCCCAAAGAGACAATGCCCTGTGCATCCCCAGACGTCTCTGGACTGCTCCGAGGGCCCATGGAGGCCACAAGAGAATATCTCCAGACCTCCCCAACAGGATCTTCCCATGAGGCCCAGATCACCCCAGGAAGAACATTAATCCTCGTCCACGCCCCGTCCGAACCCAGCCCTCGGCGGTGGGCAAACCTCCTTTCAATAAACCACCCTTCGGTTAAAACGGCCTGGGACCGAAACCGACGGACTTGGACCCGCAAAAGTGACGGCCGCGACGCCCTCTCGCGAACCGAAAACGGCCAATGTTAATCGACGCGTCAGGGTAGAGTCGGAGTTGGTTGGACAGGACACGCGAGAGAACACAAGACCCTTCCGAGTGCCATATTGCCATAGGAATGTAGGAGGATAGGTCGCGAGACACAGGCCACAAGGGTACCCTTGATTTGGCAGGATCGACCTTCTAATCAGTGCCGACTGAAGGAGGTCTGTCCACCTCCGAAGCCCTTCGGAGCCCCGCGGCTGCCGCAGTACACGAACGTGTGGCCGACGTGGTCGGGGAGCAGCCGGCCGATCCGGAGCCCGGCTAGCAGGCACAGGGTGGGCACGGACATCTCGCTCCTCGGGGGGGAGGGAGCGCCAAGGCGTGCTGCTTTTGAGCATCGTCGCACCGATCCCCATCCCCGCTGGCATGGCCCTGTCCCCACTGGACGATGCAGTTGCCCCATCCAGCTAGGGGCGCATGCTGCTGTCATCGGACTTCGTGGGGCCTTTGCCCACCTGGGGGGATGGGCTGAGAGGCTGAGATACCTGGACGCAGTGGGGATGGGGATCGCTTCAACGATGCTCAATCCGACCCCCAGTCGCCAGAGACTCGAGCACATCGAACACCAGCTGCTCCTGACCCTCCCTTCCTGGGCCTTCGCTCCTGGACCAGTGGCCCGACTGCTGGTCCTCCTCCCTCACTCCTCCTCCGTCCCGCCTCCTCCTGCCCATGAATCACCTCGCTCCCGCCCCCGGCATTTTCCCCTCCTCCCCGCCCGCCCTTCGGCGGCGACGATAGGGGCGAATAGACCAGGGGCGGGCATGACACGTATTCGCCCGGGAGCCTTTTCGAAGACATGATCATCGGCGCACCTGAATACATGAATTGTTCTCCCCTGGGCTACTCGCCATTATCGTCGCCTCTGAGCCCTCGGCCACTTTCGCGACCCCCTGGGAGGTCCAGCGGAAGGGGGCCCCGCGCGGGCCCAACCAAGGCCTCGGCCCCTGGGAGTGCTATCAACTGTGGAACCGTCGCTGCTTCTGTGAGCGCGGCGCCGCCCTGGTCGTGTGATGCTCCCCGCTGCGGCGCCCCGCTCGGGACACCTGGGCCTCCTCCCTGCAGGCGGCTCTGCTGAAGGTTGCACCGCTCTGTTCCTCCGACAAGCAGGGGGAGCGGCGACGGGGGGGACGTATAGGCCTCCGACGCCGCGACGCGCTTGCAGCGTCGGCCCTGGAGGTCTCGACCCGTGCCCTGGACCGGCTTTTCATCCTGCGTGGCTGTCTGACCGCCCCTGGGCCCAGCGAGGGCCCCGAGCGGCCGAAGACCAAAACAAGCACGACAAACAGAAATCCCGCGGGACGTCGTCCACGACGCGAGAGGCCCCTGGGGAGGGGGGGGAGGTCGTACAGTGGAGGCCTATGCCAAGACGCACCCTGCTCGGGTCTCGATGGTTTCGCTAATTATGGAAAGCGGGACATTCCCACACCGAGCATCAGCGGACGTCTCCTGGGGTCCCGGGGTGGGGTTTTCCTTGTGGAAGGCGTTCAAACTTGAACGATCGGCCGTTCCATTGACGCCAGATCGTCCAACGACGGCCGATTCTGGGCCACGGGCGGCGTTCAACCTTGCACGCCCGCGCTGGGGTCGCCGCCGGTCGACACGACGCGTACACACCGCAAGCGCCAGCGTGCCTTTGTCCCAGCTGAGATCCAGGCCGAGACGCCCTCGAGGCAGTACCTCGTCAGGGCCCGCAGCAGCGCGGCCTCGGCAGCGTGCAGGGCGGGGTGGGGCGAGCGCGACGGCCCCCTGAAAACGGCGAGGGGCTCTTCCGGAGGGACGCCAGTTCTTTAAGGCTTCGTCTAGAATAGCAGAAATGGACGACGAAGAAACGGGTCTTACGCGAGATGGCATGGCGACCTTGCGCGGCGGCTTATGCGGGCCGCCAGAGCGGCACGCTACCTTGGAAAGCAGGGCGCTTACGCGCGACCTCACGCGGGCAGCTTACGCGCGAATGTCGGCGCAGTCGAACCCGTGTTCTGCGTCACTCACTGTCGGAGGTCCGCGCGGATGTCTCGGATTGGCACTGGAGCCGCCAGAAGGGGCTCCGGCGCAGATCCAAGACCCTCCGCGCAGGTTCTGTCCATGCAATTGTTTTGCTCCTCGAAACGGCGACGACGACGACGAGAACAGACGACGATGCCGATGCCGACGACGACGACACTGACATCCGAGGACATGTTTCTCTTGAGTCATGTTTTTCCTGTTTGATTGTGCTAGGACCCGAGAGCGGGCCCCGAAGGCCGCAGTCGAGGCAAATGCCGAGATTCCACAGATCCTCTCGTCGGGGGATCGGAGACGACGACGGACACGACGACGGCGACCACGACTGACAGAGGACATGTCGACCCTTATCTCTGGCTTCGTGGTGTTTTCGAATGGATCAGACAGGTTGGGCCTAATCCTGAGATATACGATGGGGGGCGTCCATTCTCGGGAGTGGTGCGTCCAAATAGCTCCCTTGGGGTGCATCCCAGGGCTTCCCCGCTCCTGCGAGCGGCCAAACTGCCGCGGGGGGGGACACTCGCACGCGAACGACGACGGTTGCGGAACGAAGAACAGCAATAGCAGAAAGTTTTGGCGGTCCGCGCAGATCTCTTGGATCTGAGCTGGACCCCTCTCCCTTGCACGCGGAACGCGCCAGGGACGGCGCCGAGCGCGGCCAGGTTGGTCGGTCCAGCGCAGATTCACGAAACCAGCGCGGAGTGCCAAAAAGTTGTGATCATGTCTTCTTCTGTTCTTCGAGACTTGAGCAGGAACCGACCGTCCTGGCATTCCTATAGGCCAACCGCGACATGTTCGTAGAACCCAAAAATGTCCCACCAACAAAAACAATGCGATTATAACACAAACCCGATGGGTTCGAACACGACAATCTCAGCAAAACGTGTTGGAAGAACGCTCCGCGCGAACCACACAGAGGCTTCTTAAGAACACTCTTTGGTGGGCCTTATGGGGCAAGCCAGGCCGCTTCGCCACTGCTCGAAAGACGGCCCCGACCCACTTCGGCAGTGGAAAAACCTCCCTTGAATAAACCACCCTTTTCGTGAAGACGGCCCAGGACCGAAACAGATGGACCTGGACCCGCAACGACAACGGCCGCGACGCCCTCTCGCGAACCGAAAACGGCCAATTCGCCATTCGACGTGTCAGGGTAGGAGGTCTATCAACCTCCGACCACTTGTTGTACGGCGCCGGCGGCCGAGAGGCGCTGCACGTGCTCCGCGCAGCGCACGCGGCGGGCCCCAGCCAGCGCCGAGAAGGCCGCGGACGCGGCGCCCCGCCAGATCCAGCCGCGCTCCGCGGGCTGGCCCCGGACGCCCGGCGGCGACGGGGAGCCAGATCTCCGACAATTCCGTCGAGTGCGGTAGGGGGGGGCACGCGAGAGAGCACGAGGCCCATCCGCGGGCAACAGCAGCAGATCGGCGGAGAGCGGGGGGGGGGAAGGGAGAAGGAGACAGCCCCTTCTCAGAAGGCCGCGGGGCTCCTCCGAAGGCCTCAGGCCTTCTGAAAGGTCGCCTGCGTCGTCGGGGAAGGCTCAGCAGACTTCTCAGAGGGCCAGGGGACTTCCGAGCCTTCTGAAGAGGCCCGCCCCCTCTCACGCCGGCGCCAGACTGGATGGGCATGGGGCGCTTTCGGTCCTCCTCCGTGTTCGGCGCCCCTCCCTCCCTCTTCCTTCGCCTCGTCCTCCTCCTCCCTCCCTCCTCCGCCTCCTCTTGCTCCTCTTCGTTATCCTCATCCCCCTCCAGACCTGCTTTGGAGATGAACGTGCTCATTTTCACGCAAGGCGGCCCCGCCCCTCGGCAACGTGAGCACGCGGTGGGAAGTACTCCGCGGCGGGAAGTACTCTGTAACAGCCAGGCGTCCTCTAGCGCCCCGCGTGCGTCGGAAGCGGCACCGCGTGGTTCTATATAGTAACTGAGCATGGTCTCGCGCCCTGCATGCCCCCCGAACCACGCGCGCCCCGCAGCCCTCGACGACGGGCCCCAAACGAGCCCTCGCCTACTTCGAGCACAAAGCAGCGAAGAGGTCGGCCCCGTGCCGCCTGGCGCGCCACGCCCACGCGTGGACGCACTCGGCGATGCGGTCGTGGTCGGCGCTCTTGATCGAGGACGGGAGCGCCGTCTTGACCTCGCCCCAGCTGCCGTCCGCCTCCTCCGTGCCGTGCTTGAACTTGACCATGCGGACGTTGCCGTCCCTGCCCTGCACGCGCACGGCCTTCACCACGCCGTGCGACAAGGCAAGCCTGCGGTAGCGGGCGCGGAAGCGGCCCCGCCCGTGCCTCGGCCGCGCCCCCAGGCATTGCTTGGCGGACCCCGCTGCCCTCGCGCGCTCGAGGCAATCCTTGCGGTCGCAGCAGGGGGAACATATCAAGTCACCAGCAGCGAAGGCCTCGCAGCAGTCGGCGCCGTCTGTCAGGGCGATCGCAACACGGCCGAGGTGCTTCTTGAGGGCCTCGTCGCACTGGGCCCCGCCCAGGGGCACGCCGCCGCCGCCTGCCATGCTCGTCTCCCAGGGGAGCTGGATGAGAACCACGTTGGCCCCGTTGCCGCGCTCGACCATGATGGGCCAACGGTTCCAGCGCAGGCGGTAGCCAGGGCATCCAGGCTTGCACTTATCGCGCGGCTTCTTGCGGCTGACCCGCTCGGCGCTGATGCCGCGCTCGTCGAGCTCCACGAGCATGCCGCCCATGAATTTGACGCGAGACGGTTCCTCACGGCTGAGCTGGGCCATGCGGGGGCGGACCTCGTCCAAGTACAACGCCATGGAATATTTCAAGGTGCCCTGCACCACGGCGCAATCTCCGCGGCTCGGGCGGCGCGCAGCCCACAGCGCGCACGCCCAATGGACAGCGAGCAGCCCTTCTCCCGCGGGTGCTCCCCCGTTGCCCCCAAGAGAGATCGGCGCGCCCTCCGCGCTCTGGACTGCGACGCCCACCTCCATGCCAGCGCGCGTCCAATCGCCGCAGCGGCACCTGCGCAAAGTCGGGGCGTTCACCTGGAAGGACAACAACAGCAATGCCAACGCACACGATTCTTTTTGGCTTGTCCAACCAGAAAGAACCGGGGTGAATTTGCATTGCGCTATCCCGCGGGTGCCTCCACGCTGCCCACGCGCACGGTGACCCCAGGAGACCGCCCTCCTGCGCTCGCCTGGAGGGACAACATAGCGCCGCATTCGCGCGGGCACTTCTTGCCCTCCATCCGCGGCAGGTACCCGAGCTCCACGCCAATCCGAACCCTGTTCACCACGTCAATGCCGCAGAGCCCTCTGAAGCCAATGCGCTCCCCCTTGGCCTTGCAGGCGGGAGGCGCCGCCTCCTCTTTTCCCAGCGTTCTTGCCACTGCATCGGGGGCCTGGCAACTCCTTCGCCCTGGCCTCCCCGAGCTTGGCCTTGGCCCCAGGCCTCAGCATCCTGCCAGACGAAGCGCGGGCGGATATCTTCACGTGCTTCTTGGAGTGGGCTTCCCCTTTGGACGCTGGGCGCCTCGTTGGCGGGCGTTGCTTCGGCTCGATGACGGTCTTCGGGGCGGACTTCGCGACGGCCTTCGCAGCGGACTTCATCGTCGACTTCGCCATGGGCCCTGGCGCCTGGCCACCGAGATGCGCCCGCCGACTTTGGGCCTCTCAAGTCTACCAGACACGAAGAAAGAGACATGCGCTGCGACGGCGGCGGCGACGAATACGACGGCGACAACGACGACGGCGACGAAACTTCCTGCGGGGAGACGACGACGCAGACTTTTTTTCTCATATCGAACATATAAAGAAGAAGCTGCACTGCCCACGTCAATCCGCCACGGCGCCGCCCTGGCCCGCGGCGCAACACGTTTCCTCGCATCGCCTATATATATATATATATATATATATATATATATATAAGCTCATCCCAGCTCACCCCAGCTCATATGGGACGCAGCGGCGCGCGCTGAGGGAACCAGCATTACCCGCGAAGCCCGCGCGAGTCGCCCGCCCGATCGCGCGCCCGCGACCGCCCGCTCAATCCATACCCCCGAGGAGCGCGCGCGCCTCATTCCCCTCCTCAGCCGAGGGCATCGCAGGCACCGCGGACACCCCCTCCTCGGCCAGCATCTGCATGAGCTGGACGTCGAGGTCGCCGCGGGGCTGGGCCGCGGGCCCAGACGCAGAGGACGACGCCACGGCATGTTGCCTGGCGGGGGATGGGTCGTCGATATTGGGCGTCACCCCCGAGAGCAGACGCCTCCGAAACCTCAGGCGCACAGGGGACACAGGCTCTCGCTTTACCTGTCGGGGGGCTCGAAGATGATGTCCTGGGGGGGAGGGGGGGGGGGGGGGCTAAGGCTGAGGCAGCGTTGCAGCGTGCAGCTTGCGTTGAAGTGCTCCCTCAGCCTTAGGGCCACGCCCCTCAGCGCCGCGTCCATCGGACCCCAAAACCTGGGCGAACGAGGGGCTGGCAAGGCACCGACGGCCCCGTCCGATGACCTCGCGCGGTTCTTCTCCACAGCGGAATCAACGAAGAGCCGCTCCTTCTCCATGAGCTGGTCGATGTTGTCGGGCGGCGTCATGTCGCCGTCCTTCTGCAGCTGGCACAGGCGCTCCCCCTCGGCTGTCAGGAAGGTCTCACCCTTGAAGTTAATGCGCGGCACATCCTTCTCCTCGGCGCCTGCCGGGGCGCCAGCATAGGCACTCCTGCGCGTCCACAACAAACGCAGAGCGCTTGAAGAAAGCCAGCATGCATGCGCGGGTCGCCTTCTCGTGGAAGGCAGGGCGCACGACCTCGACGAACTCCTGGAACGTCGCGGAGGGCCAACGGTCTAGCCTCTCGGCATTCGGGTCGTAGGTCTGGTCAGCCATGCACCGAGGCCCCCCCCTTCTTCCATTTCGTCGCGCCCCACCTGGCCCAGCACATGCCCCCGCACTGGCCGACGCCCATCAAGGCCTTCACCATCTTCGGCGGGAGGAGGTTCGAGAACCCGTCGCCAACGAAACCCCCCATCATAATGCCGCCTGGCTCGCCACGCAGGAAATCGATCTCAAGCGTCACGCGGATGGAGCAGCGCGCGGGATCCAACCCGTTTGCCCTCGCGCTCCTGCGGCGCATTGCCATCGAGCACGCGCGCCCGGGCGGTGCCTTGCCGACGCTGGGCCCCCCAATGAGGACAAGCGAATCGTTGCCGTTGATGAGCTCCGTCATGGTTTCGAGAACGCGAAGGCTGAAGTGGTCATCGCAGAGGGCCACGCTGTTACCGAACTCCTTCTTCGCCAGAGCGCCCTCCGCCGCCGAGGAGCGCAGGGACTTCGAGGCCGATGGGCCATCTGCGGAGGGGCACCCCTGCCCTCATTGCGATCGTCTGCCACCGCACCTGCTGCAAGCCCACCGTGGACTTCGGGGTCTCGTTGGTGATGTAGTCGAAGCCAGCGTTGATCTCCTTGTCGCTCTTCTTGCAAAAAGCGCTCTGCGCGGCCTTCGCCGCGGCTTCGGGCGAGAGGAAGAATTGGCGAAACTGTTCGCCGCCAAAATCTTCGAAAACGCATTGTCAGACATTCGCGCCGATCTTCGGGTGCACGAGAATCAACCTCCGCGGCGCCCCGCAGGCCAGCTCCTTGAAGGGCCCGAGCTTCATCTTGCGTTCGGGGCTCGTGAGGACGATGTGTGTGGGGATCGTTTTGGCACCGTCCTGGCCGTCTAAAATAGCGAACTGGAGCTGGGCGTCTGCCGGGGGCGGGCTCTTGAAACCGCGCGGCGCTGGGGGGCCGCTCCAGTCGTTGTTCTCGGCTGCTGTCTTGTAGAGTTCCTCCAAATTGGCTGGGGCGGTATCCGCGTGGTTCACAACAAGGTTGATGTAGTGTGCCAGCGCGTTGTCCTGCGGCGTCACGTCCTTGGTGAACTCGCCCAGAGTGTCACTCGCGATCCTCGTGGCAGTTGTCGGGGCGACCAGTCCCGCCGAGAGAGAGCGCAAAAGTACCCCTCGACGCGCTCCTTGATCTCCTCGTACATGGCCAAAGCGAGTCGAGGCGGCGTGGCGGGCGGCCGAAGCGCGGCGAGAGCTTTGCGGTCGAGCCCAAACAGCTACGAGTTATCAACTTGTTGGTTGACTTCGTGGTGTCACCACTGCTGGTGTGAAGGTGCTGGCGTTTGCTCGTGTTTGCCACAGGAGGGCACCTTTTTTGCGATGCCCTCGGGTCGCCGGGAAAAAAAGGAGAAATAAGAGAAAAAAAAATGTTTCGTCCACCCCCGCGCCTCCCTCCACCCCCAAGAGTAAGTAGTGAAATATGTGTGTTGTTGTTATTGTTGGTTTTTCCTTAGGTTTTTTGGGGGTTGTT